CTTATTTCTTAGTACAAGAATAATCTAAATAGGTATGGCCGATCGGATTCAAGGGAAACTTTTTTCATTCGAGAGCTATGTTATATCACTTGGAATTTGGTGCGAAATGGGGATTGCAGAATAATCAGTGAATGATTCATCTTTACTTTCTCCTATTTTATTTACCATGTGAACCCAAAACCCTACTCGTTGTGGAAATCAATCTTTGAGTCTTTGGTTGATGTGAACGCGATTCAGTTTGAAACATTTGATTACTTTAGTTGATTTTCGTATGTAGCATATCACAAACGACTTTTGAGGTCAGTGGGGACTTTAACAAGTTGTGTTTTCTATACAGAAATGATCTTAAGAGAGTTATGAGAACCTCTTGCCGCAAAAACATGAAACGATTTGGACCCAGATTGGGTACACACATTTTGTCTCAATAATCAGGACCACTCACTCATTTTTTGCTTCCCATTTCTCTTGGATGGAAATTGCCTAAGAGAATTTAGACCAATGAATGGAATACAAAGGACGAAATTAAAGCGAAAGTGTGGCGGTGTAGACTTTGTTAATTTTACATGTAACGTAGACTCTCCTAGTTGGCTATTGATTCTTCTTGGGTAGGTCCAAGAGAAATAAGTGCATCGTAATGCCCCTTGTTTATAATCGGGTAGATGTTGGGTTAAACAGCTGCACTTTCATTCATAGCAGAAACACTTACAGAAGACAGCTCCAATGGCTTCCTCCTCATCCAGTCTCGGCGTCAGTCTCTTGTCACGGCATCAAGTGTTCATCAGCTTCCGAGGAGGTGAGCTGCGTAGGAGCTTCATTGGTTTCCTCACTGGTGCCTTGAGGCAGCATGGGGTCAACTTCTTCATAGATGAACACGAAAAGAGAGGCGAAGACCTTGAAAAGCTTTTCATGAGGATCGAAGAGTCGAGCATCGCACTGGTTATATTCTCCAAGAGGTACTCAGAATCAATGTGGTGCTTAGATGAGCTTGTGAAGATCGAAGAACGAGTGGACAAAGGCCAACTCGTGGTCGTTCCCATCTTCTATAAGCTGGAAGCGTCCGACGTGAGAGAGCTTAAACAAGAGTTTGGTACTAACTTCAAGGTTCAGGCTTGGAAACGTGAGAAACTCAGAGTCTTAAACTGGGAGAAAGCTATGGTGTCTATTTCTGGAAAGACGGGGTTGAAGTTGGAAGAGCACGGGTAACAATCCCTTCCCTTTTATAATGATTAATTACGTGCACCAACTTGAACTTGGATCAAACCATTCGCCCCTAGCTAGGAGCTAGTGTTAGTTTTATATCAGTGACACAAATTCGCTAAAGTCACGTTAGTTTGCTAGACGATACATCTTAGCTTTATGTTGGGATGTAAGGTACATGGAAACCGGACAACAACATGGCTTTGATTCTAGACTCTGATTTTGGACTCTAAACTCTTGTCTTTTACTAAGATTCCACCAAATCAACATGGCTTTGCTATACAATATTGTGCATTAGCATATTAAACTTTAACATAAACTTTGTGACTTTGCGTAATATAAGTGTATGCATTTCATAGATTACAAACGTTCTCCTCTCTTTTCTGTATGTCCAGGGATGAGTATTTATTCATCGTCTCAATCATTGAGAAGGTGAAGGAAGTGCTACACAAACTTTTGTCCGAGGAACTAGGAAGCACACAAAGAGAAGACCTTGATGAACCTCTATTTGGAATCGAACAACGCCTCAAGCAATTAGAAGAGAAGTTAGAGTTCGAGCAAGACAATACCTGTATTGTTGGAGTTGTTGGTATGCCTGGGATAGGCAAAACCGTTCTTGCGAAACGGATTTACGACAAGTGGGTACCAAAGTTTGGAAGCAGCATGTGCTTAACAGAAGTAAGCAAGATGTTAAGGATACATGGGCTTGATTCATTGCGAAAGAGGCTGTTGGGAGAACTACTGAAAGACACTCATCCCAACATAGAATATGCAGTGAATTCACATGACTTTTGGAAGGACGAGTTACTCAAAAGGAAAGTTTTTATTGTTCTTGATGACGTTAATGGAATGAGACAGATTGAATCACTTCTTGGTAACACAGACTGGATTAAGGAAGGAAGCAAGATCGTTATCACAACAAGCGATGAGTCATTGCTCCGGGATTTAGTCAGCGATTTTTATGAAGTCCCCAGATTGAACGACGCAGACAGTTTAAAGTACTTCAGTTATCATGTCTCCGATCGCAACATTTGTGCTCTCGAGGGAGAGTTCAAGAAGCTTTCTAAAAGGTTCCTGGATTACGCGAAAGGTAACCCATTAGTTCTCAAGGCATTGGGTGTGGAACTTTGTGGCAAAGAGGAAGCTTACTGGGAACAGAGAGTGGAAACACTTGCTCAAATTTCCAATAAGATGATCCAAGATGTCTTGCGTCGAAGATATGATGAACTCAGTGAGAATCAGAAAGATGCGTTTCTTGACATTGCTTGTTTTTTCAGATCAGAGTCTCTGAGATATGTAAAACAATTGTTGGATTTGCGTATCTCCGAGTTCACTGAGGCTTGGGGTGTAATGGATGAGCTCAAGTATAGGTTCCTCGCTAAATATTCTGGCGATCAAGTAGAGATGGATGATGTACTGTATACGTTTGGTAAGGAACTTGCTGGACAAGCAACTTTTGACAACAAAGGAGCTCAATGCAGGCTGTGGAACCACCAGGACATCATTCGTGTGCTGGAGAACAACTCGGTAAGATTTATTTGTTACAAGAGCTCACAAATATTTGAAACAAACCTCAAATCTGATTACTAAATGCTTGTCTTAAATTGGTTAAAGGAAATGGAGAGGGTTAGGGGTTTGTTCTTAGACATGTCTGAAGTCAAGGAGAAAATGAGCTTTGATACTAACACCTTCAACGGTATGTGCAATCTTCGATACCTCAAGATCTACAGTTCTGATTGTCCTCGGGGATGCAATGGTAACCGGGTAATAGAAGCTCCAGAGGAGCTTCAGTTCACATTAAATGAATTGCGGTGTCTTGACTGGCTGAGATTCCCATTGGAGAAACTTCCATCAGACTTCAACGCAAAGAATCTTGTATATCTTAGCTTGCCTTACAGCTCCATTAGACAGATCTGGGAGGGTGTTAAGGTATGTCTCTATGTCTTACCTTGCTACTGTTTTAGCTGAAATATGTCTTAAGTTCTTTTAATTTTTACAGGATACACCAAACCTTAAGTGGGTTGATCTCAGTCACTCCCATGAGTTGAGTGATCTGTCAGGGTTGTCAAATGCTCAAAATCTCGAAAGATTGAACCTTGAAGGCTGCACAAGTTTGGTTAGTTTGCCGAAATATATGGAAAATATGAAGAGTCTTCTTTATTTAAACATGAGGCAATGCAAGCGTCTCCGAAGTCTTCCAAATACGGACGTGAGCTCTTTGAAAATTCTCATCCTCAGTGGCTGCTCCGAACTTCAGGAATTTGAGGTGATATCAGAAAATCTAGAAACACTGTACTTAGATGGTACTAAACTAAAGGGACTTCCTCCAGCCATTGGGAATCTCCAGAGACTTGCCTTGTTAAATTTAAAAGGTTGTAAAATGCTAGAGCATCTTCCTGATTCTCTTGGAAAGCTGATAGCTCTTGAAGACCTTATTCTCTCTGGTTGTTCAAAGCTCCAGAGTTTTCCAATGGACACAGAAGACATGAGATGTTTGCGAATCTTACTGGTTGATGGCACAAGAGTAAAAGAGCTTCCTACGATATTTCACTTCCGCTGCTCACTGCGGCGTTTATGCTTAAGTGGGAATAGCATGATCACCGACCTAGAAGATGATGTCAGGCAACTTTATCATCTGAAGTGGCTTGACTTAAAGCATTGTGTCAATCTCAAACGTCTTCCCACTCTTCCTCCAAAGATTGAGTTCGTAGACGCACATGGATGTCACAGGCTGTCTCGTGTTGCAGACCCACTGGCCATATGTTTAATGACTGAGCAGATCCCTTCTACATTCATTTTCACTGACTGTAACAATCTGGGAGAAGCTGCAAAGGAAATAATTGTAGCCTACGCCAAATGGAAATGCCAACTACATGCATTGGAATGCTACTATGCGGTTCGCTCTCTCTCTCTTTCTGTCTATCAAAGTTTCCTTTTTAAAAGTGATTTGCTGAAGCTTAGTATTTCGCGTTTTTTTTTGCAGGGTTTAGTTTCAGGGGTTCTGAATTTGGTCAACACATGCTTTCCTGGATGTGATGTCCCCATGTGGTTCCATCACCAAGCTGTTGGGCCAGTGCTAGAGCCAAAGCTGCAACCACATTGGTACGACAAAAATCTTTCTGGTATACTACTGTGTGCTGTTATCTCGTTTCAGGACGAACAAAACCAAAGCAACTGTTTCTCAGTGAAATGTGCTTTAAAGTTGAAAGACGAAGACAGTTCTTGCATCAGTATTAAATGCAACGTTGGAAATTGGACTGAATCCGGAAGGATTGAATCAGACCATGTCTTTATGGCTTACTCCAGTTTCTCAAACATCGCAAAACGTCTGGAGTCCCAGTACTCGGGTAAGTGTATAATACCCATAGAAACAACACTTAAGTTCTATGTGACAGATGGTACATGTGAAGTGGTGAAGTGCGGGTTTAGTTTCGTATATGCGGAACCAGATAAGCTCCCCTTTAGAGAAAATTCTTTTGATCTTCTTTAACAAAGGGGGAGTTGGCATCCTCATTGCGGCTTTTCTCTTCTTTACAGTTTTTTTTTATTTCCTGGCTATTTACGTTTTGGATTCGTGAATTACTTTAGAGCAAACCCTTGGCATTTTCAAAGTTGCGATGTCAGAACCATGCAAGAGATATTATTGTAAGTCATTGTTGTTGCAAATTTTAACATTTAGACCAAAAAACAAAATATATACATATGAACTTCCAGTGATACTTTTATGATATTTTTCCCTCAAAACATGTTCTCGTGCTCCAAGATTGGAACATTACTTAGCAAATCATCAGAAATTCCAAGGAAATATCAAAGACTAACTCAG